TGCGCGCACACACACGCGCGTGCGCGCACCGGTAGTGTAGACGTGGAGCTGGCCAACACAGAGTCTGGGCTCAGGCTGCCAGGGAACCCTTCTTAAAAGAGGCGCGACATTAGCGCCTAAAAGAGTCGGTGCCAAGCCGTCCTGACCACCACAGGTCAATGACTTCAGCAGGTCACTTCCATTCAAGTGTCCGCTTTGAGTTCTCAGGCTCCGCTGGCCAGGGCTCTGGCTGGATGGCCAGTGAGCCGGAGCCTAAGCCTTCCGATTCTGTGTTCTCTCTCTCTGCTCCCCCCCCCCCCGCTTCATGTTGTAGTTCCTTCTGTCCTAAAAATAAATAAACGTTGAAAAAAAATTTTTTTAAAAAAAAAAAAAGACACACACACAGCGGCCTGAGCAGGAGCACTGGTGGTGCCCCCAGGCATCAGGATGCGCGCGCCTGTCTGCTACTGGCCCACCCAGGACTTCAGGTAGGGGACAAAGGGAAAGCCCCCTGCCGCCTCTTCTCTCACATTCACCTCAACACTGGCTGCCCCACTCCTGCCTGCCCAGATGCCAGGCAGGCTGACACTCCAGCTGCTGCCAGGGTCTGGGGCCCCTGCCCCCACTCTGCGCTCTCCTTCCACTTCCACTTCCTCCCCTGCACCTCGGCACGTCCTGCCACCACTCCCTCACCCCTCATGCTCTGCTCTCCACCTTCCTCTCCTCCGGCCTACCTCTGCTCCACCAACAACAGCAAGGTTTTCCATTTTCTTTTCCTTTATCAACTCTGGCATCGATTTTCAGAGCTTAGGGTCACTCAGGCCAGGCCCCGAGCCACACTGGACTTGGAAATTCAGGACACACTGCCTCACCAGCCCCAGTGTGCTCCCAGTGAACCCCCCCTAGGGTTCACAGTTTCTCCCAGCAAGGCAAGCTGCCCGGCAGGAGTACTGTAGGGACGGTCTGGCCTTTTGTTTAGGACCCTGTCTCAGGTTTAAGCTTCCTCCCCACCCGCTTTTTTCCATCCATCCCTTTTTCGAGAATCCTATTGTTCTCTGTGTCAAGGTATGGTGCAAACTCTGGTAAACAGGAAAAGACATCACAACCCTGCAATGGAAAAAGAAATGTATAATTGAGAATAAAATTAAACCTAAGCTTGGTTCAAGATGGTGGACTGAGCACTTGAGGAGATCCTTTCTGTCTTCGGGCGGCGCCGCGACCTTCAAAAACCGTCATTGCCGTGGAGAAGCCACAGCCTAGAATCATGGGTGGGGGGGGGCCAGTGGGTACAGTTCCGGGAGGGGCTGCCCCACCCCCCAGGCCAAGGTCCTGGCCTCAGAGCCCTTGGGAAAGAGAGTGGACAGGAGTGGGAAGCTATGGCTTCTCTGCTTTGAAATGAAAAAAATAAAATGGACAGCTAGCTCATCTGAGTTCTGAGGAAGGAGGACAAGCTGTCGAAACCAAGCAGCTGAAACATTTTAGTGCCAAATTAAGAAGCGTATTTATTTCCTACTTCTTTGCAAGCTACAAGACTCCACTAGAACCACAGGGAGAAGGTGAAAGGGGCGTCTGGATGGCTCAGGTGGTGGGGCCTTGGTCTCAGGGTCATGAGTTCGAGCCCCACGTTGGGTGTAGAGATTACTTAAAAATAAAATCTTTAAAAAAAGGAGAAGGTTAAAAACAAACAAACACAGACAGCAGTGGGGGGTTCCAGAAAATGGAAGATTCCACTAACAGCAAACTTAAGGTAACAGATCTTTATCAGACCCCCATTTGGAACTAAATAAAAAGGAGTCTGCCACAATTAATAATTAAAATCGAGGCTGTCATCGCTTGGCCTAGGGAGTGGCATCACTTAGGTCTAGTGACTGACAGACCCCTTGAAAGGCTGGAAGTCAGAAGACCAAAGGTCTAGTCCTGACTCTTGTGACCTTGGGCAAATTATTCTACTTCCTTGTGGCTCACTGTCCTCAAAAAAGGAAATGACTGGTCCTGACTTTCCCCTAGGACTAATGTGTGGAGTTAGAACATGCACCATGAAAGGCCACCGAGTATCAGAGCACAATATGACCCTGTCCTGTTGAGGTTAAGGGGGAGTAAGGGTGAGACACTCAGAGAACAGAAAGCCCGTTATAAAAATGGTGGAGCCAGACATGGGCTGGGGACGGGAGAGGAGGTCAACCACTCATGCTGGAACAACTGGGTGCCCACAGGCAAAAGAGTGATGCTGGACCTCTACTCACACCATGTACAGAAATTAACTTCAAATGAATCAAAGGCCACTACTGAGCTCAAACTATGAAAATTCTTAAAAAGAAACACAGGCACAAATTTTCTTGAACTTGGATTACACCATGGTTTTTCAGATAGGGCACAAAAAGCATAAGCAAGGAAAGTAGGGGATCTTGGACATCATCGAAATTAAAAACTTTTGTGCTGTGAAGGACATCATAAGAAGGTGAAGACAATCCACAGAATGGGAGAAAAGTTTTACAGATCACAGAGCTGACAAAGGACCTGTATCTAGAATATACAAAGAACTGATGCAACTCAGCAATAAAAAAAGACCAGTGACCCAAATAGAAATGGGCAAAGGATCTAAACAGGTATTTCTCCAAAGAAGACATAGAAATGGCCAATAAGCACATGAAAAGATGGTCAACGTCAGTAGTCACTGGGGAAATGCAAATCAAAACCACAGTGAGATACCACTTGACACCCATTAGAGAATGTTCTAATCAAAAAGCAGCAAGTGTTGGTGAGGATGTTGAAAAACGAGCCCTCCTACACTGCTGGTGGGAGGCTAAAATGGTGCCACTGCTTTGGAAAACAATCTGGAAGTTTCTCAAAAAGTTAAACATAGAGTTCCGTAGGACCCAGCAACGCCAGGGTATACGCCCTGGTGAAAGATGTATGTAGGGTATACATCCTAGGTATATACCCAAATGAAACGAAAACATTATGTATGCAAAAACCTGTACAAATATGTTCATAGCAGCATCATTCGAAACAGCCGAAAAGTAGAAACTCGCGTATCAATCGGCTAATGAATGGATAAACAAACTGTGACACATCTATCCAGAGAATGAAATACTACTCAACTACAGAACTGACTGAAGTATGAATACATGTTCAACACAGATGCCCCAGAAAACATTACGCAAGAGAAAAAAAAAAAAAAAAAAAAAAAAAAAAAAGCCAGTAACAAAAGGCCACTCACTGTAATTCCATATCCATGAAATGTCCAGAATAAGTAAATCTACATGGAAAGGAGACTTGTGGTTGCCTAAAACAAGGGGAGCTGGGGGGAAAGTGAGAGGGTGATCACTAAAAGAAACAGGGTTTCTTTTGGGGGTGAGAAAAATGTCCTAAAATTGAATGTGCTGATTCTGTGAATTTACTAAGAACCATAGAGCGGTATGCTCTGAATGGGTACACTGTATTGTATGTGAATTATATCTCAATAAAGCTGTTACCTGCTCCCGCCCCCTCCCGCAAAACAGGAAAGGAATCAGGAGCCTGTTTTACTCTGTAGGAACACCATACCACCTGTGGTCCCAACATAACTCTTACTTAGAGAGCCCCTTTCACCCTGAGAAGTGTCTTGATTTATATAATGAGTTTCTATCATCGCCCTATCACTGTGTGATATCAGGCAGATGGCTCTGCCCCTCTAGGTTTCATTTTCCCCAACTGGAAAGCAAGGTCTACCCAGTTCAGATCATCTTTGACCCCAGCGCTATAATCTCCTAAAGCTCTGCTTTAGAAGGTGTAAAATCCTGCTCCATTGATCATAGGGCTTCTCAATGCTCTGAAAGTTAAACCTAAGTTAGCGAAGAGTATAGATCACTGCGTGCCGGGAAACAGACGCAAGACAAAGCCTAATTGCTGAGTTTACTGGTTACTGATAATCAGAGTTCCCCAGAATTAAGCCACTAAGAAATGTGATCCAACCACTCCAATGCAGGCAAAATGCCCTAAACACTCCCTCCATGCATGAAAAAAGATAAACATTTAAATTGGGGCCGCACAGAAAAGATGAACCCTAGGAAACTTGGTAAGTTTGGCAGTCGTCAGCCAAGGTCTTCTTTAAATGGGACCTGGTTAAGTCCATCCAACAGGGCCTGCTATCATGACCATCAAGGTCATCTGATCACATAGCCGAATATTCCTTTCCTAATCTTCCTTACCCATGATTGCTTAGGGCATAAAATTACATAAAAGGGGCTCAAGCAAAATATCATTCTGTTCTCATCCCTTTCATACTCGTGAGAACGTACCTGAAAAATAGTTGTTCTATCCTCTCCTTCTTCCTTCCAAGGGCACAGACCTAGGTCTATGTGGCCAGTCCTACACAAGCATCGTGGTGTCTACATCACCAATGCAGAGACAGGAGCCCATCGCTGGGCACTGCAAAAGCAGGTCCTTAGAAACGGAGTCAAGGTGAAAGCAGCAGAAGGCACAGAATAAGTCCCCTTCCCACCGATCCATCCAAGAAGCAGAAAGACAGATGCCCACCAGGGTCGCTGAGATGGGGAACCAACACGAAGACAGAACACCGGCAAGCCACCTACATCCAGTCAGCAGTCCTGGTCATGGAGCCGGTTCCCAGAAAAGGTGAAGGTCGGGGGGACGCACAGCCTTCCCGGGAGGCAGGGGAATGGTCAGAAGGCACCGAGACACTCAGTGAACTGGCCTCCAACTAGGGAGCAAGGGGTTTCAGAGAAGATGGCCCTGCCATTTGCCTCTTTAAGATAGCAGGGCTGGGAAAAGAACGAGGAACATTCAAAAGCTGGAGGCCAAGAGGAAGGGAGAGAGGAGCCGCTGGCTTTCCATACACCAGAGACTGCATCCGCAGGGTTCTGCTGGTTCGTGGGCTGTGATCTTCCTGGACTGGGCCAAGTCCCTCCCAGCCACAGCCCGCCAGGGGAGGCTGCGGCGTAGAGTGGTGCGGTTTCTACATCCGAGGGAATCCACTGGGCTGTGGGGTGGGGGCCGTACTTCACACGCTGGACTTTCGCTCAGAGGCCACATTTCAGGATGACGTGGTAGCCATCATTACTCTCAGCTGCAAAGAGAAACACTGGACATTTCACAGGAAGAAGGGCAAGACAGCATGACCTTGGGGAAGGAGGGAGGGCACGGTACGGGTGTACCGGCAGGAGTCCCGCCACGGATATTGGCTCCAAACAGATGCATAGAGCAAAGGGTGCTAACAAAACCAGGCATCTTGACACATGCTTCATGGCAACGAGCCTTTCTACTACAGCCCTGGGCCCAAGGACTGAAGGCTCTATGTCCAAGAAGGCTTTGAACAAACTGTGGTTCTCGGGGTGTTACGGCCCCCAGCTCTCTGAAGGCAGCTGCTGGCTAGATCCAGAGAACAGGGGGGAAAGGAATGGCCCTGTCAGAGTCCAGAGTCTGTGACCCGGTCATAGGGCATTCATTCTGATATACTCCATACATTCACCTGCCCCGGGCCTAAGGAGGGTCACAGCTAGTCTTTCTGTCTCCTGGCACACGAGTTCCTTCTCTGACACCTTCCCCAAGTGGAACCTTCATGTCCCACCCCAGCCCCAGATCCCTGATCCACCAGGCCTACAGGCTGAGTGAGGGAGTTCATGGAGAACACATCTCCTGGCAAGGATTTCCCCTTCAGAACAGACTATGGGGGCCAATCTCAATAGTTCTCGCATTTCCAGGGCAAGGCTTCACAGGAAGTCTGCGTTCCTTTTCCCCAGATGATGTCCCCAGATAACGCTGTCTCCAGGGACCCACCGCGCAGGCAGGCCCCACTCACCCTATTACCCAGAGAGGAGGCAGGGGGCGCAGCCAGAAGGGGTGAGGGGGCTTTACCTTTCAAGGTACTGAGGATAAAACAAGACTCATCCTGGAAATTCTGCACCATCTGAAAGGCAAAAGACAGACCATGTCCCTTCAACAAGGACTTCCTAATATGAAAAGCCTCAGTGACACGGAGCTAAGCCACCACAGCTGGCAGAAATGACGGTCACTGTGTTTGCACAAATGCAGGAGAACGGTTCCACTAACACTTACTAAGGAAACATGAAACAAGATAAATGTACAAAATGATTACCATTTTAAGTAACAAAAACTGAACAGAAAGGACAGAAAGGAGCCTGGCAGGGAAGCAAAATGTGCACATTTAATACAGAACTACGTGTTTGTTTGCTTTCGTTTTGCGTTCTCCTAGTTACTTGGTCCTCCAGTCCCTACAGTGGCCACATTACAGAAGCGTGTGTGTGTACAATAGCAACAACGACAAAAAAACTACAGTGCTTAAAAAAAAAAAATACCTTGGTGATTGGTAGCCTCCGTATATCAGACTCCCAGGAGGACCAACAGAAACACAGCGCCACCCCCTATGTGTACAAAGTGGCAGGAATGAAAGCATTACTCAGCCAAGTCTCTCCAGTTCTCATTCTGATTAACTACCAAGTGACCTTGGGCACGTCAACCTTTTTCCTGCTGGTCTCCATGCCCTATCTGTAAAATGGGGCTGTTTCCATAACAGAAGAACAGAACCAGGGTGTAGAACAATGCAAACTGGTACCCGCTGCTGGTGGAGTGTTCAGCCATATGACCGCTGTATGAAACTTGCCCGCAGGATCTAGGACATTCCTCCTACAGGCTAGGGTTCTAGATAAACTCCGGCACGTGGACACACAAAGCGCACCTGAGAATGTTTAGAGCAGCGCTGTCTGTTAACTACAGGGGGCGCCTGGCTGGCTCCGTGGGAGGAGCATGGGACTCTTGATCTCAGGGTCATGAGTTCGTGCCCCACGTTGGGTGTGGAGATTGTTTAAACAAAAACTTAAAAGAAACTGCTAACTGGAGACCGTGCGTGTGTCAGTCAGCGGAGGCACGAACAAACTGTGGCCTAATCATGCTACGCCATTCAGTGCACCACTGGCCTCCAGCAGCATCTGACCTGTGTGAAATCTCAAAAATATACAGGGAATTGGGGCGCCTGGGTGGCTCAGTCGGTTAAGCGTCCGACTCTGGCTCCGGTCATGATCTCGCGGTTCGTGAGTTCAAGCCCCGCGTCAGGCTCTGTGCTGACAGCTCAGAGCCTGGAGCCTGCTTCGGATTCTGTGCCTCCCTCTCTCTCTGCCCCTCCCCTGCTTGCACTCTGTCTCTCTCTTTCTCAAAAATAAATAAAAATTCAAAAAAATTTTTTTGAAATATACAGGGAAATGAAAGAAAGTCACAGAAAAATATGCTATTATTCCACCTATATCAAGTTTTAAAATAGGCAAAATTAAATATGTTGAGGAGGAACAAAGGAGCGATTAACACAAAATTCAGACCAGCAGGTGGAGGGATGGGGTGGAACAGGAAAGAAGCCCACAAAGGGGCTAACACAATATGGCACTAACCTGAGTGCAGGTATCGGGCACTTAAGCATACATCTGCCATATTTCACAATATCAACGGAAAGAATATTAAAAATATACTTAAACATACCCCCCCACACACACAGACTAGCCAACACGATGGCAAAACCCCTTTCCAAATTAAAAAACTCAAGCTACATTTTACTGCCCCCCAAATCCTGCAAATCCATCCACCTGTCGACTCCTGCCCCTCCCTGCAGGGCCTAATGATGCATGAAGTACATTTATTCTATACTACTGGCCTGTGCCCTCTAGGACTCTTGGCGGCCCAGCCACTTGGGCATGCAAAGCCCTAAGCAGAGCCCACTTGGGCTTAATCAGTAACTCCCTTGTTTAATTAAGTGCCCTTGCACCTCAGGGGCTGGCTCCGCGGCTGGCCAGGCTGCCTCCAGCACTCTGGCAATTAAGAACCAAAGGTTTCCAATTGATTCAGGGTTAAGAGGCAAGGAGACTTCAGGGGAATAAGAATCGCCTACTTAGCTGAGGTAGCTTTTGACTTCTGTTCTCTGCTTCACTTGCTTAACTGCTCACTCTGGAGGGCACAGGGCAAGCTGGGGAAGGAACTTCCTGCAGGGACCCGTGAAATTGCAAGGGTTCCGCACATTCTTGGCCTTTGTCTTCACCAAAGAAATTCATTGTGAAATGCAAAGTGACACATTTTCCGTGCCACTACAGCAGTCCATCGCTCAGGGTGTCTCAACCTTCCTGGCTACTCTAAAGTTAGTGCTCAAGTCGGGAACTCTGGGCTTCATCTTATCTGTGAAACGGGGGTGCAAAAATAGCTGCACTGGATTTGAACGTAATGACATGGAAGGAGTTCTGAACCGGTGACAAAGACAGCAAGTTGCAGAAAATGTACAGCTGGACCTTTGGGATGTGCGTGTGTGTGTGTGTGTGTGTGTGTGTGTGTGTGTGTGTGTGTGTGTTAAAGATTTTATTATTTTTAAGAAATCTCCACACCCAACATGGGACTTGAACTCACAACCCCGAGATCAAGAGCTGCGTGCTCCACTGAGCCAGCCAGGCGTCCATCTTTGTCATGTGTTTTTAAAACCCACACCTACACAACCTACACAACGCTCGGGCACATGACGGACGCTCGCACAAAACGTCGTCTGGCAGAGTCCCTTCAAAGCTAACATAAACTCTTCTAGGAAAAGAGTGGGGAAGATAAGGACCCTTCACATTTGCCTTCAGCTGGTTTACACTTTTTAAATTTTTTTTAATGTTTGTTTATATTTGAGGTGGAGGGAGAGTGGGGGAGCGACAGAGAGAGAGGGAGACACAGAATCCGAAGCAGGCTCCAGGCTCTGAGCCATCCGCATAGAGCCTGATGCCGGGCTCGAACCCACAAACCGTGAGATCATGACCTAAGCCAAAGTCAGACGCTTAACCGACTGAGCCACCCAGGCGCCCCGATTTACACTTCCTGACTTATACTAATTGTGAATTGCTTTTGAGTTCAAAAGGAAGGCAATCGCTGCCCCCTTGCCAACCTCCAGGACCAAACTGCCATGAAATGGGGGGTTCTCACCACCCCTATCTGGGGTCTCCTGGTGCCTGATGCTATCTTCTCATTTTATCCTTACTCCAACCTCCTTGGTGGGTATACTTATCCCCATTTTACAGCTGTGTAAACTGAGGCTCACAGAGTTACGTAAATTTGCCCCAGGTCACTCCGCTCCTGGGAGCAAGGTCCAGGCGGGGACACGCATCCAATCCCAAAGCCCACATCTGCTCTGCACTCCCAGCCACCGTTCGGGTGCCATGTCACCTACAGTCCTCTCCAGATGCTTTCAGAGTTCTCACAGGGGGCTCAGGGGGCTGCCCCTGCCCCCATTAGCCCAACTGTGTTTATAAAGGGCTCATTTCAGGGGAGGTGGCACAGCCTGCTGTCTATGAGCTGGGCTCTACAGCCAGACACCAGGGTTCCCATCCCCTTACCAGCTGTGAGACCTGGGGCAATTACTCAGCCTCTCTGTGCCTCCAGTTTCCCATTTATGAAGTGGGATCATTTTACCCACTTCACAGGAAGCTGTTGGGATTAAACGAATCACTACGCGGGCACTTAGAACAGTAAGCAGCGGGTAAATACCGACACTCCTTACTGTTATTATCAAGAGGAGGGACCGGGATAGAACAGGCCTGAAAGCTCTGTTCTGCCGTGTGCAGGAATGCCTAAACATCCCGGCAAACCAGTTTAATTAATAACCCCCTCCTTAGCCGTGAGTGCGATCAGATCATCGTGTGCCCTCTGCCAGCGGCCGCTTGGGCCGTGTACAGGTCTGTGCGGCCAAGGACAGACCCGGGAAGGCTGCGGCGCCTCCACCATTCAGCACAGGAGGGCTCCGTTCTCTCACACGACCTGCATCCTCTCCATCACCCAGCCCCCTGGGACCCGCCGCCCACCCTCCTCCCAACTTCTTCCAGCCCCGACCGTGAGCACCCTGAGGGCAGGGGTGCAGTCTGTGCCGTGGCTCCTGCATGGCGCCTGGCTGAGGATGGGGCCTGGAGTGGACACTAGAAAACTATTTAGAGCCACAGAACTCTCTCCCCTTGCGCTCCGGGCGCAGTCAAGGGCATGTGGCACGCGGAGAAGACTTAGCGGCCATCTCTGGACGGAAGTCATCCCCAAGCCCCAGGGGGTGCCTCCCTGCAGCCCCAAGACCCGGGCCGCAAGTTGGGGCTGGGCAGCGCTCACCTCGTTGCTGACCACCACGTGGATGCCGGTGGGGCCCTGCCGATAGACTCGGTGGATGTGCTGGGGGGAGATGCTGTACAGGTTGGCAATCTTCTCAACCAGCTCCAAGGTGGTCAGCTCCTCCAGGAAGATGGCGTGGTACACTGCAGGGTGAGGGACAGGGCCTTCTGTAGAACACACGCCTGCTTTGTAAGAAGCCCACCCCTGTGCCCACCCCCCATCAGTCACTGGGTTGTAAGGATGCCCATGCCCAGACTGATTCGCCAGGACGTGGCTGGAACAGGCACAAAGCCCCTGCACGGCCCAGTGACAGGGGAACCGCAGCGAGGCTATGGGTCCTCATTCCCGTACCCATCTCTCCTGGGGGGATCTTCCATAGAATGTAGAATTCCTGCGTCCGCCCCACACCCAGTGACACCCATTTAGGGTTGGGAGCTAGAGCGAGATCAGCTGGCACAACTCTGTATTTTAACAAGCTTCCAGCGATTCTGACACGCGGCCAGACGTGCACCCTCGCAGGAGAGAGGAGAAATCCTGTGTCCCCTCCCTTTCCTTCCTTTCCGTTGCACAGAGGGGCCATAGGATGGCTTTGGGGGAGCAAAGAGCGGGATTTAAGGATAACTGCCACTTGACAGCAGGCGAGTCTTGTCCTTGCCCTTCCCCGCAGCACAAATACTACTCGGCTCCAGCACTGCGACCACAAAGGGAAGGGGGGCGCTGGGAGTGTCACCAGCCCGCTGGAAGACAGCAGTGACCCCGAGGCTGGAAACGCTTCCTTATTCGAAACCCAAACCCGCCAGGCGGGAGGCAGCAACTCTGGGCTCCCGGCGGTGGACTACACACTCAGGGGTGGGGGGAGGGGTGCACAACCAGATTGAATTAGAGATTCCCAAACTCCCACCTCAACCGAGGAACAGAGACCCCATTCTTTCAAAAGCGTGTGTGCGTGCACGTGCAAACGCACACACATCGGCTCCCCCTGAAGGGGTGCCAGCCAGGCAACAGATTCGCCGTCCCAGGATGTCAGACAGGCTGACCGGCCGTCCAACTCCGCAGAGGAGGTGGCTGCTGTGTGCTGCCCCTTCCCGTGCAGACACCAGCTCCAAATGCCAGCCTCTCTCGTGGGAGTCCTTTTTATAACACTTCTAACCTACCTGTGTTTAGGTTACCCTGCTCCACTTTTTCTGAGTTCACTCTGCCAATAAATCAGGCTGGCCACAAACACCCAGATGGCTCGCAGGCCAGCACCCTGTGCTGTAACCTTTTGTCACTGGCCTTGCCTGCCCCCAGCTGAGTGTGGTGCCCACCAGGAGTGCTTGGAGCGGCTGACAGGGTCAGTGAGACACTCCCCTGAACGCCTCCCAAGCCACCTCTCATCCGGGGTCTGGTGGGGGCAGCCTGGGGAAGCACGAGGCTCTAGAGTAGGCAATCCCAGGTTCAAATCCCAACCCGGCCACACGAGAAGCAAGGCCACGAACGATCTCTACACATCCCAGAGCCTCGGGGCACACGCAGGGTCAGCTCCACGAGCTGAAATCCGTTCTTCACAGGCTGACAGTTGCAAAGCAGGGGGAGGACCCAGACATCCTCCAGAAGCGTACAGGCGCCAGACCCAGGGCTCAGAAGCCAGTTCCTGGGGTCCAACTGTTTGGGTTCTGGCTCTGCCTTGTACGACGCTGTCGTTTTGGGGCAGTTATCCACTCTGTGCCTCAGGGTCCCCCACAGTGAGACAACGTTCCCAACAGTTCCTGCTAGAAGCAAATAAGTGAGCACACGGAGCCCTTTGGACAGGGCCAGAGCGATCTGGAGGGACCCGCAGAGGCACACGGGGTGCTCCCTCACTCCCTGCAGACACACACAGAGCACAGACTCTACTGACACTGGCAAGCGCCCAGAAGCAAAGCGCTTCCCCTTCCCTGCATCGTCTCGCTGAAACCGCACGCCTTGGGGGTTGGGTTGCTGTCTCTATTTCACACATGTGGAAGCTGCGGCACAGGCCCTGGTACCCTGCCCAAGGCCACACTGCCAACAGGCCACACGGCCGGCACTGGGCCTGACCTCAGCCGTGTCCTCTCACCAAACTGCCTCCAGACTAGACTGCCGACCGGAAAGAGCCACGTGCCCCTGAGGTGCTCCTCAGCCCTCGTGCGGCCACCAAACCACATGGGAAAGACTTATCCAGCTGGGGGAAACCACAGGAGGCCACACTGCGGGAATATGGCCACTGAGTGTCACCTGTCACCAGCCTGGGAGCCAGAAGGCCCCACTCCCAATACCACAAGTGGCTAAGTGGCTCTGGGGGAACATACCCCCTCCCTGGGCCTGTTCCCCAGGTAGGAAGGAAGTACGCTGGACCACACGTTCTGCGGGATGACCTCCACCTTAAAACATTTTGATCCCAGGAGGAAGTTGAACAAAAACTCGTCTTGCACGAAGCCGGAGTGAGATGGGTTCAGTGGCAACGTTCTCTGCAAGAGGACTCAGGCTGCTGCTACATCTTCCTGTTACTCTGCCAACCCCTATAATCGGCCCTGGGTTGGGGAGGGGTGCCCACAACTCACCACACAGACTGCTGTCCCCACCGCCATCCCGCTTCTGCTGCAGGGGCGCTCGGTTCTGCTCCAGCTCCTGACAGACGTAAATGGTCATCTTCGGCCTCACATTCCTGGCAGGAGCAGAGGAAATAAATAGCGGGGAGG